TTGACCTAAATTTTGTGTGTTTTTGTGTATATAAATTGTGAATTTATAAATAATTGTTTGTCCGACGATTTGTTTAAATTGTGAACGCTGCACACACACACACACGACAGCTCAGTGCATGGATATTAATGCTTTTCCGATTTTTACCCTGTTCGATCGTGCGCATACAATTTTTTTTTTCAAGGGTTGTTGTTTTTTCTTTTTGGACGCGGGTGCATGTTTGGTTGTCGTCGTCCGTTTCGAGGCACACCTGTTTCGATCACCGCTCATTAATCTTAATTTTTGCGCATATCCCGCACGGAAAAATATGCACCATAAATCTTGAATAGAAAATGTATGCTAGCACGCACGTGATGTGTGCTATTATTATCTTAGAAAGACAAACAAAACTGATATTTATTGATATACCAAAAAATTGCAAAAAATTAATAAATTTAGATGAAACTTGCAACAATTACGATGAGAATTGTACTTTTCAGGTTAGTTCAAAAAATTTGACAAGGTAATGACAGATCAATTTTATTTCAAGTTTCTAAGTTGTACGCGAGATGGCGACTGAAGCGTTCGAATAAATGTAGACGTTTCCGGAAAAGTGAATTATTAATGTGTGATAGAAAATAGACGTTTGAATGCGATAGAAGGAATGAGGCTAATTTGAATAGATACGAGCGTTTGGGAGGAACGAGAAAAGTCTTCGGTTTTGGGGGGGTGAGTGGAGGGTTTCAGTCTATTACGGTATAAAGATCACGTCGGCTTTAGAACTGGAAGGCATGTAGTGGTGCCTAGTAGTTTGTGTAGCGCAGTGAAAAGTTTTCGGGTGGAGGATGAGAGGATGAAGCAAACTTGATAAATACGAAAAAAAAGAACTTTCAGCGACGTTCCAGCATTTCCTTTTCAAAACCCTCGCTCAACACTCGCACACTAACATACGTGCACAATCGGCAGCAGGAGAACAGATATAGACTATGAAATCGGTGCGGATGCAAAAGAAACAGATAAAAAGAAATCGGGCGAACAAAATGTAGTTAGTAAATTCCAGAAACGTAACATAACGGAACGCATTCACGTTCCTTCTTTATCCGTGCAAAAGCTTCGTCCTTTCAACTACAACAACCACCCCCTTCACCCCTCTCCCACCACCACACGTCTAGTCTGTTTGACAGTGACTGCAACAGGAAGCGAAACAAAAGAGAAACATTCAGAGGAATGCAGATTTCTTTTTATTAAATAACATATTTTTAAACCTTTTATCTATGATTACCAACTACAAAAGAAGAAAAACAGTTTTGATATTTCCATGGAAACATGTTTTCTTGCTACAAAAAGTAGTATTTTCTACGTTGATGAGCCGAAACGCGTATAGATTTTTTTTTGTCGAATATTTACGAGTGTAAATAAATTAACGTGAATTTAAGGGAGGAAAACGGTCTGCCAAAAGCTATTTCGGTTCAGACGCGTTCCAAGTTTTAAAAGCCAAAAAGTCTTCCTCTCTCACTCGCTGTTCTCATCTTTCCGTTTCTGCTTAAAGCCGGAATCTGGAGCATAAACTATGCGCGATTGCAGCAGGAGACGCTTGCCAAAGGCATCCCCAATATCCGAAGCGTTAGTTTTAAAACAAAACAAAATATCAACAATTCGCTCTAACCTCAAATAATTTAACCTAACCTAACTTTTAGGTCAGTAACATTAGTCAGGTTGGTATGATTGAAAGCGTCTCATAACGAAATGCATTGTGACGTTTTCCACGGCGTCTAATTAAGGCCCTTTCGACGAATCTCACATTTCCATGAATTATTCGAGCCGTTGCATCATCATCATCAATCCGCGAATTCCAAATCGAAACGCGTTAACGTTGTTCGTTATGTATATTTTGCAGAGTTTCACCTATTTAGTCTCTATTTTTTTTCTTCTTTTCCGTTGGCAATGCGCGCAAACTAATTAATTGCCATCTATCGATCGATCGCATAATTTATCCGGGAATAATAAATGCGCGCATTCGTTCGTATTTATGGACCTGTCGCTGTGGCAATCGTGATTTATGCTTCTTTAAACAATACACCTCATTTGTTTTCATATACACACAAAGCGCATATCGTAAGTTATCAGTTTTAGTTTTCGTATTTTTTTTCTTTTCAATTCATCTATCTGAATTTACCAATTTTAACAATCTTCTATACTTCTTCAGAACCCATCAAGAAGTTAACTGCAACATACAATTTTATAATGTTCCTGTTAAGGAAACGAGTGCAAATGTGTTTCAAACTTTAAAAATTATCATTAACTAAAATGTAGAATTCAATTAATTTACACGCTTTTCATTTATTCCAATAATAAAATTGTCAAATTTGTAATTGAGACTTGGTGGATGCGCCGGGTATATATTATTTGGTTGCCATGGAGAATAACTCATTCGTGAAGTGATTACATCTTTTTTCTTCTTCTTCATCATCTTCTTCTATTATTATTTGGTTACCATGGAGAATAACTGATTCGTGAAATGATTACGTCTTTTTTCTTCTTCTTCTTTATCTTCTTCTATTTTTATTTGGTTACCATGGAGAATAACTGATTTGTGAAGTAATTACGTCTATTTTCTTCTTCTTCTTCATCATCTTCTTCTATTTTTTCTTGATTGACAGTTCAAATGACAGTCATAAACTGTGAAGTTTAATCGGATCGGCCCTGACAAATTCGCACGGCGCAAATTGCAATTCAAATAGTATTAATCATTCGAAGGTGGAAGTGTGGGGGAGGTTGGTGTGAAGTCTTTGCGGTCGAGGTGAGCAGCGCGGAAGGGGTGTGAAGCGGCGATGGAAACGCACCCACCTCCTACACCCTCTCCTCCTCCCCCTTGCCGTTTATTTATTACATCCCAAAATTAATGTCCGAAACGATGATAAATCGAGTGCGCGTGCAACTCAAATCCCCCCTCGCCCACCCCCTCACTCGCATCATCCAAAATCCACGAATTAATTTCATACTCGGATGCGTCAATCCATAACAAATATACAGTAGGGAACGTTCTTCACTTTCGAGAATGTATGCAAATGATTTATATGAATAATTGAAGCTAGTATACTTGGTGGCCTATATATATATATAAACAAAAAAAATCTAATTAGATTGCTAAATAAATCATACACAGTTGCCATATGTACAAACACAGCTGATAAAACTGTCAAATAATTGTCACTTGTGACGTATAGTGCAAAATTTGAATATTTTTTCAAATCTTCTCACAACTGCGGACATCTCGGTTTCTACTATCGCATTAAAGGGAAATATTTCACGACGCGCATGAATGATATACATAAATAACTTCTATCAAAAAAAAAAGTTTTTTTTCGTGTTTATTAACTAAATTTTCTGATTAATGTTGGTAACAATGAATTAAATATGTTAAATGAAAATAACAAAAGCTTTGAAATTTGCTTGATATTATAGCAATTTCATTAAGCGTTTCGCTTCAGACTTGAAACGATATATTTTTTTTTTGTATGTGTGTGTTGGTATACGTTCGTGTTTGATATTCATTTACGTAATTAATATTCGACGGAACTGTTTACCGCCGCCTCCGCTCTTGCGTTCATTGCCTACTACTTTTTTCTTCTTTGCTGCAATGTTGCTCTTTTGTTCTCTCTCTCTTGTTGTTTGTTCACTATGTAAACTACTGCTAATTTGCAACGAAATTTTGATGTTGGGGGTGATCCACCACCCCCCTTCTTGTCCACCATCCCCAACTTCGAGTCGAATCTCTCTCTCTCTCTCTGTCTGTTGGATCTGGGTCAGATACATTAGCGGCGAATTGATTTTCATCTATGAATAATTTGCATCTTACTTTGCGAATGTCAGGCCTGTCAGTTTCGCATTAAATATTCACACGACCCAGAGTGTGGGCCCCACATTCACTTTGTGTATGAGCGAGAAACGCATACACGATTATCATGTAAGAGAGAGAGAGAGAGTGAGTGAGTGAGTGAGGGACATCCGATTTCGAGAGCGAATTATTTAATGCATAGTGAGCTGGTGTGTAGTACGGCTATGGGGGTAGGGGTGGAGAAGAGGGTGGTGGTGGCGATGTGTGTATGCGCGCGTGGACCTGGATTACAAATCCGCAAATCCGGATATATATATTAAATAATCTCATTCATTTGTCCACTTGACATCTATGTCACCTTGACAACTGTGGCGGAGCTTAATTCCGACTGTCACTAGGTTGAAAACTGTCAAATTTATAAAAAAAAACAAAAAGAAACGTAACTTAATTTTATGAAAACAAATTTAACAAATGAATATGCAAATTAATGAAACAATTGACGTTAAAGTTGACGTTTAATGATTGCATATGAGTAACTGAATTGTTTTAAATGATTTGTAAGTTCTTACTTTTTTAAGAATTGCGATGAGATGCTTCTGATTTGGATGGACGTCGATGTTGTCGAGGAAATAAAGGTAATGATAGGGGTTAATTCGATTGGATGTCGTCGTCGTCGTCGAGGAAGTGGAGGAGACAATCATCAGACTTCGAAGGAAGTTTCTGGCGTGTCATCGCACTCTGACGTGCCCCGCTTCGAGGGCTAACTGAATTCCAGTTACAAATTCGTACTTAATTTGCATTCGTCTCTCCACCACACCTGTCTTCGAGTTTAACACTCTCCGTCTTTGTCTTCGTATAGGTAAATGTGTGTGTAAAAGACAGAGAGAGAGAGAGAGAGATATTGAATTAGATTCAGGGTGGTCCCAAGTGGGGGAATGCTCCACCACTCTCTTTTCATTAATAAGGATTTCTATCTGTGTGTGTCTATGTAGTGTGCATCTGCATATCATCGTATCCTGACCAGCTCAATAGAATGGAAGCTGTGCGGCGGCGGCGGCGGCGGCAGAGGAGGCGGCGGTGCTCTCAATTGAGGGGGGCCTAAAGCCCCGAGCGTGTTGCGCGCACACCTCGACCATCCAAAGAGAGAGAGAGGAGGGTTGGCGGTAGGGGCGCAGAAGGCGGCGGCGTTAGGAGTCAGTTTCGGTGCGTCGCGGTCGCATTTACACGTCGAGCATGTGTCCTTCGCTAAGCGAGTGAAGAGATCGAGAGCGTCGAGAGAAAGAAGTCTTCGACTGTCTAAACAAGTGGTAAACGATAATGTGCAGAAAAGCACAGCCGACGTCGATGATCATGTTGATGACGATAGCAACAATCGAGAGTGCCATGGGTTAAAAGAAACCCCCTTTTCTCACCGGTTTACCCATGGACGCAACGCGCGGAAAATGGGTCCGGTGGACGCTGATGGTCCTCTTCTTCGTCGCCACTGGTAAGTAACAATGCAATACCAAAACAACAACTAAAAATGGAACTAATTTCAATTGTTTCATTTCACAACAATTGAATAATTCATATAAATCAACTACGACAATAAAATTAATGAATACATTTTTCTAATTTCTTTATGAGAAAAAATATGAAATTTGAATTTTGTTCTGTAGAAAAATTCAACTGAAAGAATACAGTTTTTTTTAAATCATTGTTTCATTAAATAACGTTCTTGTAAATTGACTATTTGTAAATTATGAAAGTATATAAAAATTTGTTTAATTTAACAAATAGATATTGAAATAAACAATTGCCTCACTTTATGAATGAAACGTATATTTGTTTTCACTTTCGTTTTTCTTTTTTTTTTTTTGTTAGTCGCTCTTATTCAGATATGGTTTTTCTTTGTTTTTTTTTTTGAGGGATAGCATTTGTTTAATTGATTGGTTGATTAAAATAAAAAAAGGGAAAAATTGGTGAGCGATAATCAATTGGATGGGTTGTAAGAGCGGAGTGGAGAGTCCGCGCGTTGAGTAAATTAAATTTTTGGCCGTCCACCGTTTCCCCATTCATTCACGTGCTGCTGCCGGTGTGTGTGTGTGTGCGGCGCGTCCGGAATTTTGCTTTTCAGGTCAATACACTTTCGGTTTCGAATACGCAAATTTCGCGCATCGCACATCGAAATTATTCTAATTATTCATCTATTTTATGAATATGTAAAAATTGTCAAAAATGACAATCTCTTGACGTTTCATTATTGACATTGACAAGAAATGTGATTGAACTTTAATCGAAACGTATCAATTGTTTCTCAAACTCGTTGTCAATGGTAACCGCAAGATGGACATCTTTGGGGAGCAGTAACGACAACTGTTTTTTTTTCTATTTGCTCTATTTCAGTATTTATCTCCCTTATGACTTTCGTTCGTTTTCTTTACTTTTCTTCGAATAACTTTATAGAGGACGAGCGTGTCGTATTAATGTTTGAAAAGTGCGCGAAAAACTTATTACCGGCAGACGAGTCCCGCGAGGTGGACAGAACAACTGTACAGGAGGATAAGAAGAAGTAGAAGAAGATGAGGGTAGGAAGGAGAAGGAACAAAAAAAAATCTGAACATCGCAGAAAAAAGTTGTACGCGAAACGATGAAAAAACTTTGGGGGTAGAATGTGTATTTTCAGCCACGTAAAATAATAACGAGCTGTTAAGTATTATCAGTTTTTTTTTGTTGTTGTTGCTTCTTTCATACATTTTTAGTAATAGTCTCTGAATTTTGTCTTATTTTATTTTTAATGTTTTTTTTAACTGTCAAAACTTTTATTCGAACGTCAAAAATATTGATTCAGCTGTCAAACTTGAAGTATGTATGTATGTAAAAAAACAAAAGCAGTGATTCGATTACAAGTGATGATGCAAAAAGCTGAAAAACAATTGATGAACGAACAAAAACAAAATATTGCGAGTGTTTGTTATTGTAGAATAACTTTTGTTTTCCACTAGAAAAAGAACAAAAACTCGATTGAATAGCGAATTCCGAACTATCCCGTCTGATTAATTATATTAATTTCAGTGGAATTTATTCGATTTTGGAGTTGATTAGCCCCCGATAAATTCCAAGTATAAATTGTACAAATATTGAGGTTGGTATATGAAATTTAATAGAAAATGATGAAACAAAAGATTTACGAAATGGCGGATGCGCCGGGTGTGTTGATATTAATTTTGAAAATTTACGTTATAAAATATGTTGTTGAATCACGTAGGAATCGCGAGAGGGCGTAACGGATCGATCAGAAATTTTTATATATTTTAATATAAAACCGAGGATGGATTTTCTTCCTCTCCTCTCCTCTTCGCTTTTTATAACGCGCTCATAAAAACAACTTTACTACTGTCTCATATATGTATAAAAATATCCGTCATCGACGTCCGTCCTTCCTTCCTTCTCCTTTTTCTTCTCTCGTTTTTTTTTATTATTCTATTCCTTCCCCCCGCAAAACTTCCCTTCGTCCCTTTTCGCCGCGTTGCTCAATTCGCCGCAGCCAACTCAAACATGCGAAACTTTTACACACGAAAATCGCATAGCTTTGATCTTTCCCTAAAACCACCATCGCCCACTTATCTTTTCGCTTCTCTTCTACATGTTATTATCATAGTTTGTTCCCTATAAACGATTGGAACGATTTTTCTTTCGAACAATTCATTGAAATTTTCAATAGAATTCGAACGTCAGCATTTTTGCGAAGCGGCGTTGCCGAATGCACGTGAATTTCCCTACAGTGTGTGTGTGTCCAAATGCAATTAATTCGTGTAATTAAATGCATTTAATGCGTGCACACGTGAAAAGAAAGCGATGGATGTTGCAGCTGAAATAAACATTCCAATTAAATTAACGGCTGACCGCCGATAATTGGATATTGTTGCGGGCAAGGAAAACAATTGCGTAACCGTTAAACATCCGTTCATTAATCGATTCTCTCTCAAGCTGTCAATTTGTAGATTGTAGGTTATGCAATATAAATCTCATCTGTCATTAAACAAAATGACATTTACGTAAGCTTAACTTAGCAATAAATAATATATGTGTAAACCCGGCGCTTCCACCACGTTGCTTTAAAACTTTAATATTTGGATTATCTAATGTCATGATGGGCGAACGAAGTCAGTCTTCAACAATTTCAAGCGTTTCTTCTAATGATGAAAAAAGGAATTAAAACAAAAGTCACCTGTGAAATTAAAATGCATAACCTGAACTGTCAATGACTGACGTCTGTCAAATTGATTGACATCAACTTTTGACGGATGAACTGTTATTTGGGTGTGAGTTTAATTGTTAAGTTGTAATGAAAGAAATTAGAATGTAAAAAAATAATAATATGAAAACGTGGCGAACTGAAAGCGGAGGAGTACGTTGCGAAGTTGGGATAATTGGACCGGGCTCATTCCTCGCTCGCACACGCGACTACATAAAGTTGTCCTTAATTGGTTCGAGACTCGATAGCGAAGTGAGTTGCTCTCTCTCTCTGTCTCTCTCTACCCTCTGGTTCTCTTCATATTTCTCTCTTTGTCTTCTACACACACGTATACTCACGCATACACCCTTCACCCTATCACCATACATCACGGTCCCACTTTAATTGTGATACCACGACGAGCTTTGTAGTCGAGAACGAAGGGTTTCCATTATTATTATTATTATTTTCTTTCCATATCTTCTTCGTACTACTTAGGTCCCGCTTATATATACATTTTTTTTTTCTGTGCTCGTTCGGTGTCCTCCGAGGTTGCTCCGAGTGAAGGAGGCGCAGCATGTATGTGTGTGTTGGTCGATCATTAATTCACGCTCACGCAGACTCTTGACACTCGCATAAGACACTAAATCGGTGACAAATTAGACATGCACTAAGGGCCTTCAGCGCCGTATTATAAATTATTCCCCGTTCCGAGATGATAGGGCAAAAACCTTCCTTCCTTCTTCTTCTTCTTCTACTGCTACTTCCGCTTACATACATCTATTATACGCACGGATAAATTTGTAAACAGTTGGTAATCTTGCGCGCATCCACGCTATACGTCAATGTCAGGACGCGTGCCGCTTGTGTCTAATCGCGACGACACCCCTTAAACAACAAACATCCCTAACTTCGTTCCAGAACCACCTTAATTAATGATTGAAAATCTTTTAACGTACATTTGGTTGTATACTTTTTGCGTTTCTCAAATTGCTAGAATCAAGGAGTTACGGCATTTGCCTGTTATGAATGAATGTAGTCAATGAAACGAAAACCACTTACTCGAATTGCACGAGGGCACACCGGTCCTTAACCTATAAAAATGCAAATCCGAACTCGACGGAACGATGAAAGCAAAATGACATTTGATGTGATCAATCTCCGCGTATATCCAAAAGAGAGAGAGAAAGAGAGAGAACGCGACGTCGTTTCCGTTTTCCTTCAGTGCACGTCGAAAACAAAGTAATCCGGTTCCATAAAATGGAATTACTTTCGCTTCGAAAAAAGGAAATAGCGAGGAGTTTGAGGAGTAAGAGGAACGAAGTAGAAAAAAAAGTAAATACGAAAAGAGTACATCTGGAAATCGTTTCAAACTGAAATACGTTTCGGCTTTTTTCCTCTTCCTCCTCCTCCAGCACCCCTTTAATCCGGCCAAAGCATTATTTTTAATAATAAATAAAGGAGTGGAAATAATAAATCGAGGCTGCGGCGGAAGCGGGCAATTTCCTCGACCGGAGGAGCGCGTATTAGGGCAATCCGCCGGAAAATTGCCCAGTGCGTGCATGTTCTTGCCTTATTGCATTACACACATTTCTCAACTGTCCGCACACTTGAACATCACCGGTTGCGCACATTTCGTTAAATGGTTCTGTTCGAAATCCGATAGATGGCGCATCAAAAAAACAGTTAAAAAAGTGTCATTCTTCAAAAACCGCAAATACATATTAAAGAAAAAAAGTATTCGCTGTTCTTCTGTTACAACCTATCAAAAGGAGCTTATTTAGCTGATAGATGGCGCATCACAAAAACTGTTCAAATTTAGAAATTTCAACAGTGACATTCCTCAAAAACCACATATGCATATTAAAGAAAAAAAAGTATTCGCCGTTGCTCTGTTACAAGCTATCAAAACTGAACAATATGTAGATCCTTATTTAGCTGACAGATGGCGTCTCGGGAAAGCAGTGTGTTTCGCACACAATTAACGCTACCTTCCACCCCTGGCAACACATTCTACGTTTATTAATTAAGTTTTCTTTTTCGCTTCTTCGTTTGTTCTTAAGTGGCAGCGAATCCCGGAAATACGATCGAGCGCGTGCGAAAAGTTTTTCAAGGATGCGGAGTGAGAGAGGACCGGGCACGGCCGACTCATTAACTTAATGAATTAAAAAAAAAAAAGTTCGACGCGCAAAATCCCCGGGGATAATAAGGCAGTCGTGCACCCCACTTCCGCAATCCTGTTCCAACCGGATACGGAAACATAAGGACCA